TCCGCTCCGCTTATCAATGGTGGTGGCGACGCGCAATACGAGTCATGGCGGATCTGCCTAGAAGAGGCGCTGATAATTCATTATGTCCAGGAATAATACACCGATGATCTGTAACAGTGACAGACTCCCTGCTATGAGGGGGCACTGCAAGCCGTGTTATAATAGTTCTCCGCTAGAGTCAGCCTGCGAGGAGTTGCTGGTTTCCTGAACGAACATGATTAGCCTGCGCTGGGGTGGAAAATAGCATATTCGATTACCGTAAGAGATGCCCAAATCCAAGCCCTGTGCTCGCAACATCTGCATGCGCACGACATCGATATGGTCGATGTGCGCGTCAGGCGCTGGTATCTTTAAATGGAAAGACTTCAGGCAGCCCTTTCTAACTCTGGCCTCCAGCACGCTCAGCAGATTGTGATGGAAGGCTCTAGTGGGATTCAAGTCAGAAATAGCGAGGGAGATCTTCTCCACGACAGGGAGAAAGCTGGAGATGGATAGGAGCCCAAGAAATGTATCCATGAAGATCGTTTGGAACGATATGGCTTCGGCTGTAAATTCCACCAAAGACGGCATGGTGCGTAGCACATTGTTTAAGCCCATAATAGTCGCGTCCGAGGTGATTCGAAATTTGACCAAGTGGACACATTTTTCTGAACGATCGAAGAGGTCGCGCAGGACATTGTCATACCCCGATTGATACCCCACGCCGACTAGTTCGAGCTCACGAATGGCTGGGACTGTGAGATGCCGAATAAGGGTCACCTCCGAGACTAGTCGGTGCAGGCATCGAAACATTAGGAACTGAGATATTGGCGGGTTACCTTGCGTATCGAGCACTTCCAGTGCCTGGAGATTTGGACAGGATTGTAGCAAGTCAATGATCTCATCAAGATTCCCTCGCCTCATAAGCGTCAACTCGCTCAACTGGTTATATGGGAGGTTATTCAGGAGCGCACCGCTGCCAGGTCCATGTAACACAAGCTTCTTGAGCTTGGGCAGATATCGAAAGACGGGCCATTCGTAATATTCTCCTCGGGTCATAATCATGCGGAGAGTCTCAAGTTCTGGAAGGTTGCCAGGATCTGCGTAGTGTATTGGAGAATGTTTGGCATATTCGACCGGAAGGTTGAATTCCTGGAGCCGTTGAAGATGTCGAGGCGCGGAAAGAACGCGGAATAGGATCCTCATGGTAGCGACTTCGCCGCGAGAAGTAGTGGGATTGGTGTTGGTGTCAGTCAAGACGTGTAACGGGAGAGGTCGCGAGAGAGCTAAAATACATTCGAGGACGCCGATGCAGTAGCTGGGTTGTTAACGAGTCTCTGGGGACCCATGGTGTCCAGTCTGAATGATGACCAGAGTTCGGGGGTAGACAAGACGACGTTCCTCCAGCGCCGACACACTTTGCCAAGCGCCCATGGACCTCGGACGACGGACAGCGCATCAAACGACTTCCCCACTACAAGACGGAATATGACCTGAAGGATCTCCGTGGGTAGGCGCCGAGCAGGCGCAAGGACACGTGTACACGCCTTCCTGTCATCAATAGCCCTCTGTTGGTCGGAGTCGAGTTTAGCGATTGCCGCGTGGAACAGATTGACAACATCACGAATCCCATCCCGCAGGAGGTGAATAGCCTCATTGTGCTTGGCTATGCGCAGGGAGAGCTGCCGTTCAGAAGAATGGCTTCGAGAGTCTCGCGCTCAGAGGGACATTCGTTCGACAACGAAAGCTGCTTTAGCGATGGGTATTCAATATCGTACTCTGGAAAGCAGTGAACACCCATTGAGATGACATTGACAGGACAAAGATCACACCTTTCAGTTTATTATACACTACTCCTTCTATCATGTCAGAGACACTGTTCAACAATTGATCCATGACTGTATACAATACTTCATACACAGGTACTTACAGTCAAGGGGGGGAACTCACCTGTAAACAATCCAATGCTCAGAATCAAGGGTGGTACGAGGCGCCCGGGCTACAGTGTTTGCCCGACGGCCATAATGTAACGATGAGCGTATTAAGAATTCGAAGACGAATGATGGTCAATAGGCAAGATTCAAAAAGTTCTCACGCTGCTCCTTTTGCCTCTTGCGTTCATCCGGAAGCAACGCGACTCCGTCGATACTGGTCACCTTTGACGTTGCGCTCGTCGCCGAGGAAATCAGTAACAGCTCAACAGCTGAGATGATCTGCTACCGTGATCAACTGATGCGCGAAATGTTACACAGAAATCCTTACTTGGCCAGTGCGCGCTGGCGTCCGTAGTCCAATGCCTCTTCTGGAGAAATATCAACGCCACGACAACAACTGTTCAAGCAGAACTCATACTCAGTACACGCGTTCTCGCATAGCCTGGGGGATAGAGCGCCTCGCCAGAAAGGGTACACATCACCAACGCCTCTCCTTGATACGGGTGACGCTAGTACTCCGGTGATCTATGATGGTCTCTGACCAACAAGCCGTCGCTCTCGATCTTTCCTCTTATACCACATCATGAACCAAGAATACGCCATCTCCCATGCTGTGTTCCGGGGCCTGGTAGCCACTCATGTCGAATGCTGGTGTCGTTCTCCAGGTTGATAACGATGAGTTCCAATACTCTGGCACTTGGGCAAACGACACGCAGCCGCAGTTCTTTGGAGGAAGTTCGCAAGTGGGTTCAGGTTCATTCTCATATACGTTCACTGGTGCGTTATATTTTTATTGCGGAATACGGTGTTAATGCTTGAACGCATCAGGAAAGTCCATAGCATTCACGGGCACTCCTCCTACGGCAGGAATCACCACCACCAACTTCTCTGTTATGATTGACGACACGACTTCCGCAGCCCAATTCGATGCGTCGCTACCTGTGCAATATGGACAGTGGTACCAATCTCCGGAACTGGATGACGGAGAGCATACCATCACAGTCAGCGACCTGGAGCGAGTTGGGGTAGATTATGCTCTTGTCACTACGACGAGTCCTCAAGATCGCTCAGATGTTGTCGTCGACGACTCGGATTCGTCGATAACGTACAGTGGAAACTGGAGCGAGAGTGCGTCTCTGCATAGTAACGCGTCGCAGGTCCTACCATCGTCATCTTTCGGGGGCGGCACACATGACGGGGGCAGCGGAAGCAGTTTATTTAGCTTCCCGTTCCACGGTATGTCCTCATTCCATTCCAGCTTGCTCATCTAATCCTGCTTTAGGTGCAGAAATAACCATCTATCTCGTATTACGGAGATCTGTAGTTGGCAACCTCCGCGCTACTGTCGACGTCGATGGCAAGATACTCGACCGCATATCTATCTGGACAGCTGCAACTGGCGACGATCGACCTAATTATCCCGTTTTCACCTCCCGAGGCCTTTCTTCCGATGGAGCACATGTCCTCACGGTGAACATCACGGAGGTCAACGGTGACCAGATGTTCTCATTGGACTACCTATCATTTGCGAATGTGACTCAAAGTCCGGATGGACCCTCGTCTGCTGCGACCTTCGCTGCAGTGACTGGTGCTACCGCTACGAGGACTCGCGCCCCCACACCATTACAAACGACGTCTTCATCTGCGAGTGCTGCGTCCGATGTTCAAGGGGTCAAGACTACGAACGTGGGCGCCATCGCGGGCGGTGTGATTGGTGGTCTCCTCGCCGTTGCTGGTATGATCTTTATACTCTGGTGGCTTCGCCGAAGACGGCAGCGGGGTACGTGATCCTTCCTGTCTGTAACATTGTTTTCTCATTCACCCATTTTTATAGAAGCCAACAAACTACATACGCTCGTTCCATATCCTTCTCAGATTCAGCCATCTCCATCGAGTTTTGGAGGTTCTGTGGCTTCTGATGCGCCCATTTTGCCGACAAGGCCCCGCGAATCGCCACGGAGTAGTCGGCGTAAAGCCCACAAAGCATCAATGGCTCGGGTGCGACTAGAAGTAGAACGATTAAAGCTAGAGATGAATGCTCTGGGGAACGGTGGCCCGTCCTCACAGGTGGAGGCGCTGCAGAGAAGAATCAACGATCTATCTGCGGAGAATTTACGTTTGCATAGGGCACTTGCTGGACATGATCATCCGCCCGCATACGTGTAGTTTTTAGCTCTGGAACTTGGGACTTTGGATGGTTATAGATTATTTGTACGGACATGGCTTAATATGTACTACAATATCAGTGCGAATTAATGGATAATGTGCCAGACAGGAAAAATAGACATTCGGCAGTACGTGATGCTGCAGTTGAATTACGCCGCTGTTTCGTACGGACCCGCAGTGATGTCGTTTTGCTGAAAGTAACAGGAACCCGAACGATATGAACGCAGAGATACTTGATAGACCACTGGGCAAGCAGATGAATAAGATGTATTAACACATCAAAGATGTGTGCTTTGGTTGACTTTTTTTCGCGGGAGTTCAGGAAGCAGGGATAAAATGCGCCACATTGTATGATCGTTGGAGTCCGCGGTCTGGTCACCGTCTGCCAGGTGCCTATAGTCACTAGTGACAAGTGCAGAATTATGAATAGTCAAATATTCATTAGGGTTGCGCAGGATACCTCGAATATCGCGCCGTTCGATATTTAACTGGTTAATAACGGTTATTAACCGGGTTATTAACACCCCCGGTTTTTAACCTATCACATGATGCAGTCATGTGAGCAGGCGGGGCGCGTCGGGGCGGGATCGGTGAGGAGGAGAGTGAGAGGATGGGTAATGAGCCACTAAACCACATAGATTCATCAGAGAATAAGTAGAGCTCGAATTAGATGATTTTGAAGCCACTGGACAGGTTTCTGAGGGCCTGAGAAGAAAATTTTGCTTCAGACCGGAAAAATACGCCACATTGCATCACGTGCATGGTTAATAACAGTTACTAACAGTTAATAACACACCCCAAAATGAGGGTATATTCCGCCGAGGTTACTAACCGCCTCGGGAATATACTGCGCAACCCTAATATTCATGTCGAGACTCAAAATTTGCTACATTAGATTTTGGTCTTAAAAGGGATTAAAAATGACCACCGCAGGACTCGAACCTGCAACCTTTTGGTACGCCAGGCATCGAAGCCAAACGCGCTACCATTGCGCCAGGTAGCCATACTAATTGAATAACGTTAATCTTACTGTCCTGCCTTGTTATCATTGCCTATTAGTAAATCCTTCCACCGTCATCGGTCTTTAAGCAGGGACTCTCATGTTGGACGTCCTTCGATGAACTCTGCATTCGAGACACTCCTACGAACTGCGGTATCGTCCAACTTGTTCCTGCAGCTGTTCCCTTATATTGTCCTATTTGCATTTCCCGTCCTTCTGGTCACTGCCACCACCTGCGTCCGACGCACCATCAACGCGCCAGCCATTTCCATGGGCCTGGATAGCCTCGGCTTTTCCGCGCCATGGACCTGGTTTTCAAACGGACACACCGAGCCTCGACCGATTCATAGTCACCACCACCACCACCAGTCGAACAGGAAGGGCCACAAATCCAAGAAGGCAGCGAAAAGAGGTACTGTTATCCTCGAGTCATTTGGTTTCAAATTTCTGACTGTCTGCGTAGAAGAGGATGTTGAGGATGGATATTATCCCGGGCTAGTCAATATTTCCGGCACATATTGCTTCATGAACTCAACAATCCAGGTATTTCCATTGGCTAACAACATGCTTGACTTGACGCGAATTTACAGGCATTATCTTCACTTTCCTACCTTCAACCACAGATAGACGCCGTGCATTCCAAAGCGGAAGCATTGGATGTTCCGACCCCGGTCATTGACGTTCTTCAAGATCTCTTCCACCGTGCGTGTATCCACCTGATGACCCATGTGCGTCTGACGATATGGCCCAGAACTCAACACGTCCAAATCCGTACCGTCCTCCATTAGACCCGTCGACCTAATTGCCGTTCTGTCATCCCCATCATCTGCCCGTTTTAATTCTCTCTTCAACTCGCGCGAACACCAGGACGCCCAGGAACTCTTCCAACTCGTCTCCGAATGCATCAAGAACGAAACATTGGCCGTTGACAAGGAAGGTCTTCGGGACCGTGGTCTCAACGCGCTCTCGCGAGAGGGTGACACATCTAGAGACATCGGCAAAAGCGTGTTCGATGGTCTCACCGCCAATCGACGGAGCTGTGTCATCTGCCAATATACTGAAGCTGTCATGCACTTTGCTTTTGACAATTGGCAGCTGGCTGTTCCACGACTTGCCGCAAGCTGTACACTGGAGGATTGTCTGGAGGAATATACCCGACTCGAGGTTCTACGGGATTGTATATGTCGCAAATGCTCCATGCTCGCGACCCATCGGCGATTATCCGAGGAAGTTGCCGTCTTGACAGAGGCTACACGGCCGGATGCAAAACCGTCTTCATCCAAGAAACGCCGACTGAAGGAAGTCAAGCGAATGGAGGCTCGTGTCAAGGCCGCCTTGGACGAGGGAAGAATCGAAGAGGACATCAAAGACGTACGTCTGGAAAAGGTGTTCAGTCAATACTCGACCAAGCAAGCCATGATCGCCCGACCTCCCCAAGTCCTCGCTCTTCATCTCAATCGCTCAGTGCATTATACACATTACGCCGCAAAGAACAACATCCGGGTCATGTTTCCCGAAGTTCTTGACCTCACTCCCTTCACCACATCTGGCAGTCTATCTGTTGTTCCGACGTCATCTCTATCAACACCGTCGCCTCTTCCTCCACGATCAAGCACGCCCACACCTGCCACCTACGACAACATCCATTCCCGCACCATCTATCGCCTGGCATCCGTTGTATGTCATTACGGGCAACACTCGTTTGGGCACTACGTTTGCTTCAGACGTAAGCCGCGGCAAGCAAACTCTGAAGACCGTTGGCGGCCTCCGAAGCTCATCATTAGAGAGCGTCCTGCTGTGAAAGAAGAAGACAAGGATTTGGGACCGGCCTTCTCTTTCGACTGGGAGGACACCGACCCAGCCGCTGGACCCGGTACTGGACTTGGATGGTTACGAATATCGGACGCCAACGTCGACGAGTGTGGCATCGAGAGTGTCTTGCGGGAGGGGTCTGGCGCTTTCATGTTGTACTATGAACGCGCCCTCGTCTCATTAGCCCCGCCCGCGCACCCGTATGCTGGCTCCAATGGAGTGGCAAATGGATATGCGTACGGCGTAGGGATGACGAGCCCGGAGAGCTCGGAGGAGACGCTAAAGCCCGAGATGCTGATGAAGATGACGATGATGAACGGGAACTCGAGCATGGGGTCGCTGGTCAGCCGTGTCAGCATGAACGGGTCAGTGAAGAGCGAGGACGACAGCAAGAGCTTTTTGTCTGCGAGTCCTCCTGCGAATCTCGGTGCAAGGGTTGTGCGGAGTGTTGCTGCTGGACGTGGGCGAAGGAGCACAAGCGCGACACCATCGGATGCCCCGCGCGCAAAGTCAGCGTCTCCGCCACCATCGTCTGTGTCTATACCCATACCGAATGGTCATCACCGAGTGAAGGAGGAAGAAGAGGACGAGCCTATTCCCCCGTCACTGTCATCGTCTGCGCCTGCGCTGCTGTTCCCGTCCCAGCTTAGCTCTTCAGAGCCGCATAATCATAAACCAGAAGAAGACGCCCGCTAGCAGCGCAGCGCAGATCCGCATGCTGACAATGTTCTTGGTCCTCATAATAATGTATCCATTGCATACTTATTTACTTCTTGTTATCATTTACATTAGTGTCTACACGTTTAGTCGTCTGTATCAAATAAACCCACTCAGAGTCGTATGCTTGTTTATTAATTCCAAGTTGAGTATAGCAACAATGTAGGAGCTTGTATGCTGAAGGGGAGTTGGACCTTTCGGCGGAGTCTCATCTATTCACTTGTCAGAATTATGATACGGCTTTCATTAATCATTATGGACTAAGACTCAATAAGCAAGACCAAACTGAACACAATATTGAGACGTGCAGAGACGCGAGAGAGAGAGATAGCAGCCACTCGACTTTGGAAAGCTCAATGCCGATATGCCAGGAAAATGATCAGGCGGCTTGTGAGAAACGATGACCGTTGATCACGATCCCCAAAGGTTTCTTCCGAACCACCATCCTCCGCCGCGTCATTAGAGTCTCCGACGCGCCCACTCGACCCGTCTACCAGTGCGAGGAATCTGCCATCTCATAAGGCATCTAGGTGCGTATTTACGCCTTCGGAAACGCGTCCTTACCATTTCTTTTAGTGGACACTTTCCTCTTCTCGGAGTCGGTCTACGTCCGGAATGCAGCACGTCACAATGCACCAGCTGTGGTGCTTTATCCAGACGGAGTCTTCACCTCACCATGAAGAAGAATACCAGGGCTCTGTGTTCCTTGAACGACTTCGTACCTCGAATTTCCCGGCGACGGACGAGGAGATCTCGCACGTCCGGCACACCATACTACCCACTGTCTCCGACGACATATCATCCATCGAATCCAAAGTCGCATCCCTTCGTGAAGTCATCAGGTCGATGGGGGAAGAGCGGGAGAGGTTGGTAAACATCCAGAAGAGGTACAATAACCTCATTTCCTTGCATCGCGCTCTCCCCTCGGAAATCTTGTCGGAAGTCTTTCTATATACGCTGGCTAGCTACTCCTATTCAAACGCCTTCGACGCGTCTGGGACCATATGGCAGCTCAGCCACGTCTGCCAGAGATGGCGAAACGTCGCTTTGTCCCTTCACTCGTTTTGGTCGACGATGGAGATTCGTTTTCCGAAAGCGGCGCAGCAGGAAGCAGACGTGCAGCGCTTGGAGACAGTTCTCCAGCGTTCCCTTCAGGGCCCACTGGACGTATTCCTCAGCGAAGATCTTTCAGATAGACGGACCCCCACTGGCAGTTCCAATCCCTTGATCCTAAAGCGCATGCTCGACGTTATCTTCGCCGAATCACACCGGTGGCGGAAGGCACGTGTATCATTTGCGCGGGGGGTTGGAATACACTCTATGCGCCACTTCATAACCGACTTCCCCGCCTCGAGTCATTAGCCCTTTATGATGTTCAGCGCGGGCTGGAGGAACAATCACTGGTCTCTGTCTTCGAACATTGTCCACGTCTTACGAAAGTGGGTCTTAGCGGAGAAAGTCCACTTCTTGTCAAACTTCCGTGGGCCCAAATCACGGAGCTAGATCTTGGTGATATTGACTCCGATGGACCATGTATGCGTTTGATTGTACAGTGTCCATCTCTTGAAACCCTCACTATGCCTGGGTGGGATTCGGCGGACGACGAATCGGCATATACGGCGATCACCTGCTCGAATATGCGTAAGCTCTATGCTACGTCGGTGCCCGTCATCGACGCTCTCACGCTCCCTCGTCTGCGGGAGGCATCCCGCTTAGTCCTAACAACAGCATAACTCAGCACTTCAATATCCTTCCTTCATTCAAACGACTACTCATTCGTTCCAATTGTTTGAGCACTCTCGCCAGTCTCTCGCTTTCTGGTGTGCCACTTGCTACCTCATCTGAACATAGCCTCCTCTCTATCCTTTCCCAGACACATAGTCTCACCTTCCTCGAGCTGGAGCTGTCTGCATCCATGGAAGAATTCGGCGATGAAACGGAAGATAGCGACCAGGAACAAATAGTGGCAATCGTGAACTCCCTCGAGGTCGTGCCTACCGAGTCTGTCACTTTCCTCCCCCTCCTTTCGTCTCTCGACATTCGGGTGTTTAATCACCTTGACTCGCAGGGTCTACTGTATTTTGGGTCGGTCGGTAGTTTTGCTTCGACGGTCCAGACCCGGTGGAGAGGGGACAATACTCTCGGCCTAGCCAGGCTTACAAGATGCCGCTTTGTTGTACATGCAAGGTATATGATGACGGACGAGGCCATATTCCGGGACAGTGAGGAGGTGTCGGTCGTGAATGTGTTCAATGAAGAGGAAAGGCGCATCTTCGATACATTGATTGACGAGGGGATGGACCTCTCTATAAGCGTGACGTCGGATTTGATCAGACACGTTGGACGTGGAGGCCGTTATCCAGTTTTCGCAGTTCCCCCCATGGCGACTTGAATTTATGTAAGCGACGTTTTTATGTGTGGAAGAATGTTCTGACTCTGTGGATGACAGCACTGTTTTTATGTCTTTGATTCCG